TTAGATAGCAATTTGTTGGCATTTTTTTCCTGGAGGGTAAAAAAACGAATTTTATGTAATGGAGTTAATTTTAAAATATTTTATTAAAGAAGGTAAATTCGTGATTCCAGACACAGTTTTACAACGAAGAACTCGTGTTATGTGTTACGAATTCAATATATTTATATAAAAATAATCATGCAATTTTACACGATTTTAGTAAATAGATTTCTTTTCGTTGAACTCGTTTTAATAGCACGAATTCATTTTTATTTTTTAAAAATTAAAGTCATGTTACCTAACACCAATTTAGTTCTTTTTTTTATATATATAAAACATAAAAATTACATAAATATATTATTTGAAAGTTATTTTTTTAAGTTTAATTGTGTTATATTATTAATTTAAAATAAAAAATAAATATATTAAAAGAAATAGATAACAAATTAATTTAAATTAGTAATTTTATATTAAATAGAAATAAAAAATTATATATATTATTACAAAAAATAAATTATAAAATATTTAATGATGAGACTCTATTTCATGACCTTTTTATTTGTAGCATGGGTATCGATAGATGGTCATGAATACGCTTTTATTGTACTTGCATACCGAGTCTACAATCATGTGCCGGAGGGATGAACATTTGTTTCCCTATTATCATTAGTATTTTTCATATTCTTCATTTGTATAATGCTTAAGGATATATAACATGCATAAAGAAACATTAAGAAAATCTACAACTATTCATATTTGAAATGAAATGGATTTATTACTAGTTGCGAATAAACGAGAAAAAAATGTTCATTTTATAAAAATAAAGTACATACCCAATAAAACTATCCATATAGGCAATAAATTTGTACTGTTTATCTTATAATAATATTATATTTTAATTTGTACTATTTACTAATTTAAATTAATTTTTAATCTACTTCTCTTAATATATTTATTTTTGTTTCACCTAATAATATGACATAATTAAACTTAAAAGAATAATTTTAAAAAATATATTTATGTAAATAATTAATTATTTTTATGTTTTAAAAAAAATAATGAGCTAAAATTATGTTAAGTAGCACAATTTTATAGTTTAAATAACAATAAACTCATGCTACCTAGTATGAGTTCAATCAAAGAAAAAAAAAATATATATATATATATATATATATATATAATCTCTTTATTGAAATCGTATAAGAGTGTTCAATTTCTTCATAAAAGTTGTGAATTTGTCACATGTAGCACAAGATATTCACTATGAAGTTGTGCTTCCAAGCACAATTTGACATTTTTTAATAAAATTTTCATAATAGACTCTATGACATAAAATCTACTTTTTTTACCCCATATATAAAATAAATCTAAAGTCATTTAATAAGAAATTTAGAATTATTTGAAAAAGAATATTAAGTACCATAACGAGGGACAAAAGAGTCACGAAGGAGAAAACCCCAGTAATCAACTAGGTCAACATCATTGTTAGGAAATAAAACTCTAAAAAATAACAAAGGTTCTAAAAAAAATGTTAGAGATGTAAGAAATATTACAATAAATGTGTCTTAAAAAGGAGAAGATCAAACAAATCTTGAAGGTCAAAGACAAGATTCTCAAACAAAAGAGTGAAGAACTTGAATAACATAGTTGTGAAATTAAAAAGTTTAAGGATGAGATGAAAAAATTATACAAAAGTTAAAAGAGTTTAAACCTACCATGAATTTGTCTATGTTTAAAGACAATAATACAAAAATGAACAATAAAAAGAATGGACGCTCTGAAAAAAAAAAAAAAATCTTCTTCACATTATTATATTTTATGGATGAAAGATAAATGGAATGAGATCAAGAAAGCAAATTTCAACTTTATGTTAAGGGCTAAATAGAAGAGTGTAGAAAAGAAGGAGTCTTATGAAAATAAATATCATATTGATAAAAAAAAGTTTGTTTGGAAACGATTATAAAGAAAAAATGAAATAACAAAATTTAATAAAGTGATGATCACATAAAAAAAGAGGATGACACAAATTATAACCAAAAGAGAAGAAAAAGAAAAAAAAAGGATAAAAAGAAATAATATTAAATTTAAATTGATAAATATTAAAGCAACGGACAATGTTAGGAACATATGTTTTATTATATTTTTATTTAAATTGGGTAATAAAAGATTTTTTTATTATCTTTTAGAATAAAAAGAATATATTAAATTATTATTTTGATTTAGGTAATTATATTAAAGTAAAAAAAATAATTGATATTTTGTCATATTTTTACTCTGTATAAAATATAAAAATAATAAAAATAAAAATATGCCTATCACATCTATTTCATATATATATATATATATATATATATATATATATATATATATATATAAACTTTACAAATTTTTTTCTCTAATAATTAATATATGAATAATAACTTATTGTGCTTATATATTTCAAATATATGAACTATGAATAGATACAATATTATTAATAAGTGTCAGAATTTAGGGAAAATATAAATTTTAATAGACACTTAATATTTATATTTTTATTATAATTTTCTTTAATTTAGAATAATTTTTTATATGTTTTTTAGAGTTAGTATTACAAATTTTAAGGGAAATATAATTAGAGGTCAAAACAAACGAAGACAAAGGAAGTAAAAATAAGTTGTCTATATTAAATAATATTTTCGGCTGAACAGTGGAACAAGTTATTAGAAAACTGAGAAAGTTTTGCTTCAGAGGGTATGTCTTGACCAAAATTACCCAAAATCAGAGTAGGCTCTTGGGACAAATTTCGCTCAAAACCTGAAATATTTTTTTTGCTTGAATACAAATTCATTGTATCTAGTTGGAATACAAAATGAAAAAGGGAAGATGACAAAAAAAGAAAAAGAAAGAAAGAATGAAGAACCAACATAGCATAGAGATTCCAACTTGATCCCACTGTTCAATGTTAATGATTCAATTATGTTCTTGCTAAGATGACTTATCACTCATCTTTAGATTTTTTTTTAATTTGAATTTAGGTTAAAAAATAATTTCAAAATTGTGTTTAAATAACATCATCTATAGTATTTTTGAAAGCTAGGAATAGATTTAAATTTATTAGTTAAATAAATTATTGAACCTAATGCAAAGAATTAAGGAATCCATTATTGCAAAAAAAAATTTTAGAAATTTTAAATCAAGGAATTGATTCATAAAGATTTGTAAACATTCAATAACCTTGACTATGATAGAAAAAATACATAAATACTCATGGAAATATAAAAGAGTGAGACAAGTAAAATTCAATGTCAATACTTCATTATCATTATTATAACATAATTTTTGCTATTACTTTTATTTTAATTAACTCTCACCTTTGCATAAACCCCACTGTAGCAAAACTGTACTTAAACTATATTTTGAAAGTTATCTCATTTTAAACCGTGAAAAATTGATTTTTAATCGTGTCAAATATAGTGTTATGGTTCATTATTTCTTGAAACCAAATCTAGAGCTCAAGATAAGATTAGGAAATATAGAGAAAATTAAAAAAATATGAAATATCTTTAAGATTTCAACTTAAAACCAATTTTCACAAAAGTGAAAATGGCAAAAGTAACTTACTTGCTGCATTCATCCTGTGCTCTTACTTTATACGCGTACAAACCACTTTATTTGAAATTCTTTCATCTTTTCTCTCTCTTATACAAATATTTTCTCATGCAATCATTTCACGCCGATAATTCTTTTGTATGTTCTCGTAAAAGGACACCTATGTTGACCTCTCTTCCTATGTATCCAAACCGCTTAACCGAATTTATTTTCAATTTGATGGGCACTTTGCAACTATATATCTCAATGCCTTTCTCTTCTATCCTATTATTGGAAATATTTAAACTTAGAAATCAAAATTGGAATGGAGTTTGGAGCAAGCATGAATAACAAAAGGAAAAAGCCTTCCATTTTTTCTTCTTAGTTATGTTCCTCTAGCATCTTGTTAAAGTTGTGTTCATATATTCTGTCTTACTCGTATACTTCTTAAAAATGGAAAGAGAATTAAGAAATTAAAATCAAGCAGACCTTCATAAAATTTAAATATTTATACCTTTAAATTAAATTGTTTTATTTACATCTTAATAACATGTATTATTTTAAATACAATTATTCTTATGGGTGTTATATTATCTTCCAATTCAAACTAAATCGTATTTTAAGATATATTGTATTATCTTCAAACTATCATTGTTAAAAGTTTCAGTTATAATTTTACCGAACGTGTTTTGCTTTAAAAAATGAATTTGAAAATCAAAAACAAAAAACTCGTCCTAAATAAAAGTTCTTCTCCATTACTTGTTTCGTTTTTTTGCCTCAATCTGAGTCTGATTTGAATGAGACATGAGTGGTGTTGGAATTGTACAAACGGGATTGAGACGTTTTCCTCTAAAAAATATAAACAAATATTGAGGCGCTGTCTTTTGTGGAAAAAAAAGGGATTGTGCAAGTGATTTGGGCGTTTTTTGTGTAAAAGTTTAATAGACTTTTATATAGTAACTTTGACGATTTATAAATATCATGGACTTTTGTGAAGATTGATAAATATGATTGATACATGAATCATTTATGTCCCGGGTGGCGTTTATTCGTGCTAGCTATAGAGAATCTGGTCTCAATTTTGGTTATCAATGTATACTATTTAACTGTTAGACACTTTTGTAAAAGAAAACTTTTAATACATAAAACTTATAAAGTTGAACCCTACGTATATATAATATTTAATAGAGAATTTTATTATTTATAATAATCTTATTTCATTTGAAGAGAATTGGCTAATATAATTTTGTAATCTGCACCGAAACTTATATTTTATCCTTAATTGGATTTCACATTTAGTTTGTGACAAGAATGGACGTAAAATAAAAGCAAAAATATGACAATTAGTACACGAACTTTCCAAAAGGAAACCCACCTCCATAAAACACTGATAGTGACAATCAAAGTGATGACTCTGAATAATAAGATGGACTGTCTAACTATAAAATAGTTCAGAACCTCATCCTTATAGATGCACTTAGCTCAAAATCACTGCAAGTATTCCAACTTCTTAATGGCTGATCGTGCTTTCAGAATGAGAGGTACTCAAGTAACTTTTAACATACCCTCTATCCAAATATGTAACATGACAATACAGACTAATCCTTTGGATGCACTCGTTCCTTTCATCTTCTTTGTACTTCTGGGTTTCCTCCAAATCAGATATCCGGAGAATCCCACCCCATTTCACCTTCATCCAAAGACCATTTGGGTTGCCATTGCTACTTTTCTTGCTTATTGCTTGGCCTCCTTGGGTAGGCTCATGTATGCCATACGGGATCATCGCTTTGACACCCTCATCAACTTGTTCTGTTCACTCTCGTTGCTTTGCTTGGTGGTGCTGTTGCTACCCGAAACTTGGGAATCATTCGATTTCGTTGTCTACACCTTATGTTTCATCACTCATGCGCTCCGTGCGTTCATCAGAACCCGTTTCAGAGAGATATGGGTGCAACGTGGATCAATGAGGGTGGTGCGTCCAGTGTTACCAATCACCTCAATGGATTTCAATTAACACTGCTACATAAATGGGTCTCATTCAGTATCTTTTGTAGTTTTTGTTCAATGACACCATGCATGAAGTCCAATGCTTCAAATCATAGATGGATATATAAAAGGTGATGGACATGTGGAATATATATACCCACAATTTACACCACTTTTATAAAATAATATAATCAATAATAAATGTTAAGTGTTTAATATTTTAGTTTGTCTTTTCTTAGTAAAGGGATTCCAACCCTTGACAATCTGTCTGAAAGTTGTGATTTTGTAATTGCAAATTACTATAAAAGTAATAAACTTTCGAGTAAATTTAATATTTATTATTATTCATGAGATATTAGCCTTCTGTTTGTAAACGTATGACGAATACCACATGAACCCAACTATATATGTCTGACCAAAACAAAATTGATCACCACCAAGTTCTACTGGATTTTTTTTGTTCTCGTGTTGAGAATTTTAGAAATGTAGAGAAACCACTTATAAAAACATATGATGATATGAATTCTCGTCATCATCATCATCATAATACTACTAATAATAATAATAGTAATAATAATAAAAAAATTATTTGGTAGTAGTTACAATGTACGTCCTTAAAATAATAATATTTGTGACTATATATAAGTGTTTGAATTTGCTTTTGTGTTTAATTTTATGCGGTGATTTTGTTGTTAACTTATAATATCTAGTAGTTATTCAAACCTTATTTATTTATTATTATTATTATTATTTGTGTAGATGAAGAAGCAGAGTTGTTGTGCGAAGCATGTTACGGAAAAACCAACTGTGGATTGTGTTTGAGGTCTCCGACAACATTCATATTGATGGTCATCACCAACGGATTAAAGACACCCAGAAAAAGATAACCTTTTCAGTTTCATAAATAAACTTTTAAGATCGGTTAATTTTAAAAGCATATTTTCTGGATAAATTATAGCTTAGTCTTAAAAGTCTTACCCTTTTATATACTATTTATGTATCTCGATCAGTCTTTGTTTTTAACCAATTTAAAATCTCTTTTCTCCAGTAATGACTCAGCTTCTCTCGCTTATGTACCTTACAAAAAGAAATGTTTTTTTAATGAAATACGTGGAACTTAATTAATTCTTGTATTTCTAAACATTTCAATTTTTCCATAACTATTCTATGCTAAAGATTAAAAAAAAAGTTAAATTCAAAAATTTGCTTCTAGTTTGCATCATCACATCGATTTGCTATAGATGATAAATTCAACATAATTAAGAATTGAAATAAAAGATAATTTATGTATAATTGTTTTTTCTTAACTTACTATCTATTTTTTATAAATTTAAATCGAACATCAACCATCATTTTCTGTATCATTTATTCCTCACGGAAACAAACTCACAATCGAACAAGAACAAAAGAATAATAAAATTATGAGCAAAAAATTATAGGAATAATAAGGGTTCTGAAACTTGCACCTCATCTTCATCAATGGAGTGGTGTTTGTACATCGATATGAGGAAATGGTAGCGCTGGATGAGGGGCTGTATGTCGGAGCAGTTTTTGATGGCGAATCGTCTGGTGGAAGAACGAAAATATCAGAATCGACAATTCTAACAGCGACTGACTGACGGAAGCTGTTGCCGCCATTGGCAGAGGGATCAACCTTACTCACCGAATTTGACAGCACCGCCTTGCCGCGGGAGAGTCTTTCTCTAAGGAGAATACAAAACAAGTTTTTTTTTTTCGGCAAGACAAGAAAGAAACTCGCCCTTTGACACCACACCAACTGGTGATGACTTGGTGAAAGGATCTATTAGAGAAGGCTGTCAAATCAGTTCCGACCAAATAGAGGAGCCAACGACAACAAACAACTTAATATTCGATGAAAAGAAAATGCAACACTTCAATCTATCTAAAAAATTGTTAATCGTCAATGTTACTATATATAAATCTTAGAGAAAGAAATACCGTCTTGCCGAGAATAAGGGTTCTGAAACTTGCACCTCATCGCAATCGGTACAGCGTGAGCTCTTTCCGAATAGTCTTGTGGAAGAACAAGAATATCAGAATCGACAATTTCAACAGCGACTGAATCGTCTTGTGGAAGAACGAGAATATCAGAATCGACAATTCTAACAGCGACTAACGGAAGCTGTTGCAGCCATGGGCAGAGCTATCAACCTTACTCACCGAATTTGACAGCACCGCCTTGCCGCGGGAGAGTCTTTTTCTAATGAGAATACAAAGCAACTTTTTTTTTTGGCAAGACAAGAAAGGAACTCGCCATTTGACACCACACCGACCGGTGATAACTTGGTGAAATGATCTATTAGAAAAGGTTGTCAAATCATTTCCGACCAAATAGAGCACGAAGCCAACGACAACAAACAACTTAATATTTGATGAAAAGAAAATGCAACACTTCAATCTATCTAAGAAATTATTAATCGTCAATGTTACTATATATAAATCTTAGAGAAAGAAATACCGTCTTGCCGAGAATAAGGGTTCTGAAACTTGCACCTCATCGCAATCGGTGCAGCGTGAGATCTTTTCGAATAGTCTTGTGGAAGAACAAGAATATCAGAATCGACAATTCCAACAGCGAGCGAATCGTCTTGTGGAAGAACGAGAATATCAGAATCGACAATTCTAAAGTTGTTGCAGCCATTGGCAGACTGATCAACCTTACTCACTGAATTTGACAGCACCGCCTTGCCGCGGGAGAGTCTTTTTCTAATGAGAATACAAAGCAACCTTTTTTTGGCAAGACAAGAAAGGAACTCGCCCTTTGACACCACACCAACCGGTGATGACTTGGTGAAAGGATCTATTAGAAAAGGTTGTCAAATCATTTCCGACCAAATAGAGCACGAAGCCAACGACAACAAACAACTTAATATTTGATGAAAAGAAAATGCAACACTTCAATCTATCTAAGAAATTATTAATCGTCAATGTTACTATATATAAATCTTAGAGAAAGAAAGAAAGAAATATCGTCTTGCCGAGAATAAGGGGGGTTCTGAAACTTGCTCCTCATCTTCATCATTGTTTTTGTGCATCAGTATGAGGAAATGGTAGCGCTGGATGTCGGAGCAGTTTTGGTGGCGACTGTCATCACCAATCGGTGCAGCGTGAGCTCTTTCCAAATCGTCTTGTGGAAGAATGAGAATATCAGGATCAACAATTCCGACAGCAACTGCCGGAAGCCGCTGCCGCCATTGGCAAAGGGATCAACCTTACTCATCGAATTCGACAGCACCGCCTTGAAATCTTGATTAAAGAATGTAAAGCACGACTTATCAAAATGTAAAGCAAAGCCGGCGCAGCGGTGACCGTAGTTGGAATGGCCATTGGTGAATGGAAGAACGAGGTAGCGGCGAAAAATGGAAGATCGAAAAGGTGGTGAGTAAACCCTTTGCTGAACAACGTTTTCTTTAACAATCTTGATGAGAAACAAGAATGCGAGACCAGAAACCGATGGTGCGACTGTCCGAGTAGAAGAGTAGAAAGTGGCCGCTCACTATTAATAGGAAACAAATCTACAAATATAACACCTAACGACGTTACGCAGGCATGACTGGTATTTTACTTTAACAGATACTGGAGGTGATTTCCACAACTCCATGTCGTCATGCATTCCTTTATAAATTAAAAGAACTTAAATTTTATGCATTGTATCATGAAGGTATTTATTTTAGTCCTGCATATGTATTGGTCTTTATAAAAATTAATTATATATTTATCTTTTTACGTTGACAAATTTTTATTCATTAAAAAAAGTTATTAACAATTGTGTTAGTTTTTATTCATTTAGAAATTTCAATGTTTAAGAATAAAATTTAACATTTTTGTCATTTGGAAACATGTGATATAGTTTTATAACATTTTTCAGAAGTGAAAAGTAAGAAATTATTAAACAAATAACTATTTCAGTGTACGCTCATTTTGTCCTAAATATTATCTTCCAATAAAAGAAATTAGTACGAACTTTCATGGAAATGAAGAACACTTGCATCATAGTCTTACATGCAGAACACTTGCTTCTATATATTACACATTTCCCTAACACAAAGACCATCAAAACCTTCCTTACATCTGAAAGTTTTTACTTTTTTGAACTGTCTTCAACAGCACCACAAAGTTTTCTCACGTCTGATGTTCTAAGGCCAAGACCAGTTTCATCTCTCTCTGTTACAGAGGTTTGATGAAATTTATGATTTTGAACCCTTGAAATTAATGAATATTTAATATATTTACTTGTATATTTATAATTTTATCTTCTTAGTCTCTCCTCAATTTTGTAATTATGATTTTTTTTCACTCAAACTTAATGATCATTTAATATATTTAAATATATATTTACAATTTTATCCTTTTATTATTTTGTCTTTTTTTTTTCTTTTATATTTATTTATAGTCAAAATCTGACACATTGTGATTCATCATTCATGTGATCACCATGTTCACAAGCCGTTTCAGAGATATATGAGTGAGAGCAACTTCAACAAATGAGGAGAGTGGTGCGTCCAGTTTTGCCAACCACTTCAATGGATTTGAATTAACTGGTTCAGCATGTATATAGTTCAATTATTTTCTTTCATGGCTCCTATATATCTTTTCTTTGAGATCACTTTTTCTTTTCATCTTCCAAATTTAAATTTATTTCTTAATGGGTGAGTTCACCAAAATTTTCTTTCTAACCTTTTAGCACTAATAGTGTTACATTGTTACACTTATTGCTAGGTGACTATCCACGGATGAAATGTATGATTAAAACATTGAAGCGAAAATTCACTTTCCAATATTTTTAAGTTTGTAACATTTGAATTAAATTTTATTTTATTCCTAAATTTAAAAGTTATTTTTTAGTTCCTAAAATGTAAAATTTATATTTTAACTCATTCAAAATTTAAAAATATTATTTTAGTCGTCTGACTTTAAAAATATTTTTAAAGTATCCAAGATTAAAAGTGATTATTAAGTTGATTCTAATTAAAAATAATTAATTTTAATTTTTAAAATTGATATTATTGAAAGTTTGTTAAGTACCCTAGAGGAGAAAATTAATTTTAAAGTTAGGAGATTAAAATAAAAGTTTAATAAACAATAATATTTGGTTTGTTTTGTTTCACTATCCGTGATTCCATATTTTCAATAAATAATAATTCAAAAATACAACAATATAATATAATACAATATAAAAAGTTTAAACTAGTACAAAAATTAAGTTAACTAAATGTTAATCTACGTAATACAATACAAACCACAAAAATGTAGGATTCAAATAAACCGTGAAAACATAAAAATACAGTATATAAACTGTAAATCTACTCAAACTCATAAACGGATAATGACGAACTGCAACAGTTCAATTTCAATAACAATTCAGTAGAGACATTCATGCAATAACATTATTGAGATCCCTAAAACCAATCAACATAAAATATGAGACAAATAGAACACTAACCTCAAATATACAAAAAAATATGTCGTCAAAACAACATTTCAAATATTTAAAATATAACGAAAATAATGATTCAACTATAAATTACTATATAAACTAAAAAGTACTATATCAACACAATTAAAAATAAAAACAATTTTTTATTCTTGGAAGCATATCTTAATCCTTATTTTTTAAATCAAATAATAAATATTTCTTAAAAGACTGCATTTGCATAAGTGTCTACATTTCTTTTTATGTCTTCGTTTGTGTTTGCATCAATGCTTGCATATGAGTTTGTACTTGCAATTGTATTTTCATATGCTCTCGTAAATTAGATATTTATTTAGTTATGATAGTTATTTCTTCGATAAGGGGTGTGGTAGGATTTTAGGAAGATAGACCTTTACCGATGAATATGAAACATTTAAAATAATGTCAAGATCAAAACTCTTTTTATTATAAATTCTACCTCTTTTTATTTTCACCAATAGTCTTTATTCAAATATCATAATCAACTATGGGATGTTTGATGTATATTCCTCATATTTTTCGATCATAACATTTTTATATGATTCATACATCAAATCAATATTTTAGCAATATTATAAATAAACAAAGTTTAATTTTTATAAAATATACACGTGCAATAATTTTTTTTCCTTTGTTAGTCACACATTCGCCATAAATTTTGTGAACTTTGATATATAGTTCACCATAAGAAATGAGACATTTGTACTCTTCTTCCTTTCAAACAATATACAATTCAAGATTTATACAACAATATAAAATACAAACTAAATGAAATACAACACTTAATTGTTTAAGTTTAAACATCACATTTATATTAATACAACATAAAGATTATCTAATACCAACATCAAACCTAATATTCAATTTATAACTACTACTCAATATTGATTAACAATTATATGATTTCAGTCATACTATACATACATTAAAATGTTCAATCATACTACCTATATTTACTTTACATACATTAAAATACGATCAAATGTGTAATTTACGAGTATCATTCTTTTTAAATGTTGTCCGAATCTTTCTAACACTCCAGTGTGTATCATGACATTAGGCTTGACATCTCCTATTGGTCTTACCTGCAATAAACTTTTCTTTCCATTCTTTTATTGCCCATATGTATACTAATCCATCTCATAACTCACTTCTTGATCCAAGACCTCTTAAGTCATGAATATTATCTAAATTTGCCTTTTTTTTTTTTTCTTTCCTTAGCTAATAAATCAGAATATTGATCCAAGCCTATCAGATTTCAAACCTTTCTTGTCATCTTCCGATCATAAGTTGATACAAAATGATACTTATTCTAAACTAATCTAAATTAGATACATTTATTGCTTAATACAAATGTTGAAGCAAAACTATATCAATACTTTAACACAATAGTTACTAACCATAAAATCATTGAATAAATTTTCTTTCATATCAGTAGAATAATTTATCCAATTAGGTCAAAGATTAGGCATTCTTAAGAGTAACTTAGATATAATTACTCAAGTCACTAAATCAGGAACAAACCTCCGAAAGTGTAGACACGTTAATAAGTATTGGTGAAATAAAAGTATACCTTCAATAGAATGTACACTCGCACTTGCATAAGAAACAAAAAAAAAGATGTATGATAGACTTTGCTTTTGCACATATAACAAACACATGTTTGTATCACAAGTGCGATTGGAAATAGAACAAGGAAAAACGTAAACACCAATTAAAATACAAAGACAAAGACAAACACAACATAATTATGGTGGAAGTGGTAGACACATTAATATGTATTGGTAGAATAAGATCATATCTGCAATAGAATGTATATTTACACCTCCATAAGAAATAGAAAAATTATGTGTGATAGACTTAGCTTCAACACATATAAAGTATTGCTAGAAATAGCACACAGAGATAAACATAAAAACCAATTAAAATACAGTTCAATTTTTTCTTTCATGGCTCCAATATATCTTTTCTTCGAGATCACTTTTTCTTCTCATCTTCCAAATTCAAATTTATTTCTTAATAGGTGAGTTCACCAAAATTTTCTTTCTAACCTTTCAGCACTAGGAGTGTTACATTGTTACACCTATTGCTAGGTGACTAACCACATTCATGCAACGATGAAATGTATGATTAAAACATTGACGTGAAAATTCACTTTCCAAAATATTTTTAAGTTTCTAACATTTAAATTAAATTTTACTTTATTCTTAAATTTAAAAGTTTTTTTTTAGTGCCTAAAATGTAAAATTTATATTTTAACTCATTCAAAATTTAAAAATATTATTTGAGTCGTCCGACTTTAAAATTTTTTTAAAGTACCCAAGATTAAAAGTGATTATTAAGTCGATTCTAATTAAAAATAATTTATTTTAATTTTTAAAATTGATATTATTAAAAGTTTTTTAAGTACCCTAATTTGAGGAGAAAATTAATTTTAAAGTTAGGAGATTAAAATAAAAATTTATTTAAGTCGTATCTTAGTTTTAGAGAAATATTGTTCTTGCTACGTTTTTTTTAAATCATTTTTACCAATAAAAAATAGCGAAAAATCATTTTGATAAATAGATAGATAATATTTTGATAAAAAAATATCATATTTTTTATTTTTTTTATCTTAACACTAGTATAAAATTATATTTTTATGTATGTTATTTTAGGTTTTTTATGTTATTTTTTTATTCTTTTAGCTTTAATATAAGTTCCAACTTTCAAAGTAAAGTGTTAAAAAGAGAAATATATGAAGAAAGTAAATTGTTGAAAAAATAAATTTGCGATGAAGATAAATTACGGAAAAGTAAATTTAACTCATTATTAAGAATAAAACAGAAATTTATAAACGAAATCAATAAAGATGGTCATTCAAGTTGCAAATAATTTTATTGAAAATACTTGTACCAGTGTTTTACTACAAGAAAAAACACTTTTAACGACGAATTTAGTGACTCGATTTAATTTGGTCGCAATTAGTGACCGATTTAATTCGGTTGTAATTAGCGATCAAAAGACCGATTTAATTCGGTCACAATTTAACGATCGATTTTGTCTCCAAAATATGATTTGGATTCATTTTTTTATTTAGTGACCGAAATAACGATCAATAGTTTGCGTCACAAAATTTTGGTCACTAAATCGGTGGTTATTCCATACTAAAATAAAAAAAA